GATATTAATGCGTCATACGCTATCGAAATCACATCATGCCAGTGAATCGATTTGAATGGCTCCAGTAAAGGGCTTCATTATGCCATGATTTGCCACCAACATACGCAGCTTTGAATGAAAGTTTGCGTCTTGACTTTGTGCGCAGAGGTCTTAATTGATGCCAGTCATTGATAGGAAGAGAGCAGTTTAAGTCTAGCTAATCAGCGTTCATGCAGTTCTAGCCTTTACCAAACTCCCTGAAGGTAGTGAATCGTGACCTCTCCAGACAATGCAGACTTGTTCTAATCAATTGAATCAGCTCCAAATCCCATGTCACTTCTATCACTTTCTTCCGTAACTCAGGGGGGTTATAATTAAGGATAATTAGTAAAGAACTCAACTACATGGCATTAAACAGTTAGTGTGTTTTTAAAAATTCAGCAGTAAACAAAAAATTCATAATTTGTTCCATTTTAATTTACGAATTTTCACATTTCATATTAAGCGACACAAAAATATTCCAATTTACCTCGAAGAATTCAGTCATTGATTGCCTTTTACTGCAAATTTACCGCCTCTTCTGGCCATAATTGCTGTTAAATTAGTTAATTGCTTCAAAAACAACCGCAAATTTTGCAGACAATGCGAGTCCACTTAAGGGCATTTCAACAATGTTACTATTTTTGTCTCGAGAATTCGCATCAGTCTCCTGATATTGTGTCTCCCTCTAGTTATATGAGTTCTTTACCAACTGAATTTTCCAGGGCATTGGTGGTGGTGGAGACATTTATTTAAATTGGATGACTAACCACTAATTTGGCCATCTGATTTATCAACTCTGTTTACCACTGACGTACACTCGATTAGGAATCTTAAAGTCTGCAGCAAAATGTACAGCTCTGTAAATTATCAGCAATATAAATAGCGGGTGGGTTGATAGTGTTTTAATTCAAATTAGGGGGGGGGGGGAGCGCTCTTAATTCCTCACTTCTAGATTCAACCTCCCATTTCACTCCTTACACTTTACCTATTATTTATACCGTTGCAAGCTTCTTTTGCATATATTTAGAAGCTTTTCCTAGTGTTAGGACAATTAATACTAATGATAAAGTTAGTTAAGTCTAGAGATCAAGAACTCCTGGACTGTCTGTCTTAAGACATACGTAAGTGTGGTTGGGTGAATTTTTAAAAAAAAAATAATTCGGGCGCTAAAGGGGTAATATAGAATATTGACCTTTACTCTATTGCTAGGGAAGCTAGTGGCTTCTCACTGCTCTCGCCTAAGATGAACAACCAATCAAGTCTTCGCATATTTTCTTTAATCTGCGACTGGAGTTGGTCGAGGTCTGAAGGATCAATACTTCTGCAAGGTTTATATTAATTCAAAACAACAATAGCGTTGGGTATTCTTGTGTTCAGTAATGTTTAAATTGTAACACTCACTTTTTACTCATTCTCCTCTTGGGCTATCGCTTGCTTGTTTGCGTAACACTTACTCCAGAAGTGCTCTGTGTTGGTTGGCTAGAAATGTGGCGTTGTCCCACAACAACTCTTTCCTCCTCTCCTATCTGTCTAACTACCTCTCTCTCCCTTCCACTCCCACTCCCACTCACTCACTCCCACTTCTAGTCCCATAAAAATCACTCTTCTACCGTTAAAAACACTCTCCTATTCTCCCTAAAACTGTCAAAGTGCCGAGAATGGGGCTGGATTCGAGTTGTATACAAAAAGGAAGTACAAGACGATGTCTTCCCTTTTTAAAAAAAACCATTTAAAATGAACTGAATTTTTGGTCATTTTTTTCTCTATTTCATGTTGAAATACTTTATCGATTCAAAGCTCTATAAGATAGGAACCCGAGATGGGATTTAGAAAGAGAAATTGAGACTTTTTAAGGTATACACTATCGGTATAGGCAATTGCATATAACGATTATTTGGTACTTGATACGTCAAGTGGACTTTATTTCGCCTCTCATGCACAGAAAGCTACTCAAACTCAAAGTTTGTATAAAAAATTATCATATAAATGTAATCGTCAAGGTCAATAGCAGTTCACGCGGTAAACTCGAATTGAAACAAAGCAGTTAGAATAGGATCGAATTTTTTATTAGTTACCAGCGTGAAGTAGCAGCCTATGGAGTGATAAACATTACACTCGAAACGATCTCTGGCAAATCAACTTGTGTAGGCGGGCTGTTTTGATTGCCGGGGCAGTTAGTCCAGGCGGATTCTAACTTTAATGGGAGAGGATTTAATTAAATTCTCCTGTAACTGATCTTGTTGACAAGTTACTAAAACAACATTTGAGGAACAGCATAATTGACGTGTTTTATCTCTCTCGTGGTCTTAGAGGACATATCATATCAACAGAACTATGTCTCCTAGCGGAACTACAGCATGAAATAGCCAACAAAGAAGTTGAAACACGTTCTCTTGTCAACAAGTGTGTCGATCAACTTTTTAAGAACTTTTTCTTTCCTCAATATGATCGCGTGTAGGAGCGTTCTCTACACTAACTTCTTCTGGGTTTGTCCTCAGTTCTTCATTTCTGCAAAGTTGAACCTCCCCTCATTACAGTGATACCATAAAGTCAAGTTTCTGGCGCCATTGTCAACGTCCCCACTTGCTATTATTGAGTCACAATAGACTCAAACACACACACATAGAGAAGCGCAGTAACTTTAGATCGCTTCATTGATTCACCAAAGACAACTGTAAGCCCTGAACATGTTTATAAGCCAGCAACCTTTTCTAAGCCCTTACGGACTCACCCGTCTCCACTCTATCTAACGTCACTGCAGAGCTAAAACCAATGGAAAGGAACCGGATATGGAGGAAGGTAGGGCCATTGCCCATATCCCGACATATACTCAAGTTCACGTAGTTTTGCTTGCAAAAATGGCCGTATCTTCACACAATTTCTACACTGTGCTCCATAGACCTTAATTCAATATTCTACACATCTTTATGTCCTTTCCAGCAGATATTTTTATACACTGGTCATTGGTAAAGAACAGTTTGGATGGTATTTATCACTGAAGCGTTAAGGTTTCTTATCGTCCTCCTGAAACCAATGCTCTACGAAAAGAATATTTGAAAGGTGATTTTATCTTACCAATTTTGGCCGTTGAGCCATTTACAACAAATGATTAGTGAAAAATAGTATTTTTGTAGAGGACTTTAGAAATTCCTTCCAAACTCTTAGTCAAAATGACACCGCTGGATTGTTCCAACTTTATTTTTCTCCCTCAATTCCATGTCATAATCTTACTTCACTTTTATTGACTTTTACCGACATCAATACTTTCAGTAATCTTAGCTTTGTGTAATTATAAGGATCGATTGACTCGCTCATTTTTGTGAGCTAGAATGCCAAGATTTCGATAACCATGTGTTCACTTCCTGTGAAATGAATGGCCAACCACATCGAGTTGATTTGGCTAGTGATATTGCAGAATTTGGGTTTCTAGCCAGTTCTCTGAAATGTCACCTTTCTGCTTAGGAGGGGTGTTAAAAAGCACTTTCCATAATGAATGCTGGAGTAAACCAATCTTTATAGTCTCTTTGCCATCAGCCAGTCAATTTTCCACCTATGATAGTTACAATGAGCACGTTACTCTCCTATGATATGGTGATCGTTTTTATCCACTTATTATTACTATTATTATTTGGTATCATGATAGCGTGCCAATGGGGTATCACAAACTTGGGAGTCAGATGGTTTGACTTAGAACTTCCATGCATTAAGTTATGATGTAAGAAAATATTTGTTAAGTGTGATGGCGAGATTCGATATATCAAAGTGAATATATGTCTTAAGCGATTTTTCGAATTCTATTTACTCCGTCTATTTGATACCACTATTTACTCTCCCTTGTTCCAACTATTCGAACTATTTATCGAAATGTGTTTCATCTGAGGAATCGTTGGAAATATAATTTGATTCGCTATGGATAATGGGGATATTACTCTTTTATTGTTTAAAATTGTTCTAGCCAACGAAAAGTGTGTTCAGCATTACCCATTTTACAAAACAGGAAGAACAAAACGCGCCATATCATATCTAGACCAGCTTTAATTAACAGAAATTTTTTTGTAAAAACACAACAGAGTATCATCTGTGGTAGTGGTAGTGGGTGAACGCGAAGTAACTAGGCTAGAGCCGTACAGAAAATACGCACATGACACTTTGGAAAGAGACTATAGATAGAACATTAAAAGATGGGCATGAGAAATCCTCCATGGCTGTATCACAGGCGTAATAATATCGACATGATGGAGAAATAGGCCAGAGGATTCCAATAAACTTTAAGGCGCTTTAAGAAACCGCCAAAAGGAGTGGAGGGGGGGGGGGAGGAATGCATAACAATGGCTATCAAGAGTGAAGAACAGGGAGGTGGGGGCTGGGGGGGGGAGGGGGGTTGGTGGTAAGAGTAGTGATAATAAGAAATAAATATAGGAAAGAAAATGGGGTGGTCAAGTTATATCTTGTTGTTTCTATACATAACTCTTTGATCAAGAGGATAAAATAGAATTCTAGCTTGGGGTGGGTTTGGGTGTATACAGTCACTGACTGTAATCCAGGAATAAGATATTGCATAATGCATATGTTTGTGGTTGACTTTTCAATTTACTCGCTCCTCAACGCTGCCGAACACTGTTCAAAGAAATTGGGGCATTTAGTTATACAACCAACATCCATAGTGGGTTATAGATTCATATTACTTTCTTTCTTTGTTTATGAGCAAAACAAAACTATCTATTTGACGAAATTAGATAAGCACTAGACAAATAGGCTCTGTATATCAACGCCTTAAAAACACGTATTTATACTTAATATGAGATTATTTTAAGTTGATATATTGCTCAATAATCACCTAAGCAAAGAATTAAATCTAATTGACAAGGAGATATTATGAATTAAAATTCTCTCTAAGCCAAAGTTAAAACAAGAAAAATACAATACGTACACCATAAAGAAGAAAATTTGAAAACCTGAAAATTTTCAGGAGAGAATATTTACCCCGATTCTCGAGATGATTTCCTTGGACCTGATGCCTGTCCATCATTCATGGTTGGTGCTTGTGGTTTGGATTTCTTGATGCGGCGATTTCGCTCGTAGACTAGGATAAAGGCAGCTAGAATTATTAATTCAACGGCTATTCCAAAGAGAGGCCAGAATGTAGCCTTTGCACCTATTGAGAGAACAAAAAATAGCTGCTTTTATTTCTTTCAGTAATGGAGAAGGCTGGAAAGTTTAAATTAATAATTTCATTTTATACGGCCATGGATATGAAATTGAGAGAAAAGAGTAAGAGTAATAAAACTGTGACCTGAACAAATAAAATTGACCAATAAGGAAGGAAGTATCTCATAAACTTAGAATGCTGGCAAATATGCATTATAATCAGTATTTCTTTTTACAATTTAACAAAATGCCGCTTCACTTCTGAGTTGCAAATTGTAGTCAAATTGCCTTCACAAGTAGAACAATATGTAAAGTCACCAGTGAGATTATAATTGTATCAGGTAACTGTGACAACCAGGCATGTATGGGTTCTGGATAAAGGCACGAAATGCCATCGGTGCTCATGTTTCCAAATGAGAAATGACTGTTTATACTTTGTTAGAAAGCCAAAATCGTATATTTTTTGGGCACGTGAAAGATATTCGTCGGTTCCATTCGTTTGTTCGCACACTTATCGATTATTGAAATTCTTCTCTCGCATTTGGCTATGTGAAGGTCATCCATTGTTGCGATCATTGGATAACCGGGTAGCCAATCACTTATCAGATGTTCAAACCAATATGAGCAAATTTGTTACTCTGACAGAGAAAACGACATTTTGAGTTGTGTTAATTTTGTCCTTGTGTGTGCGTGGATGCAGTTGCAGCTTTATAAACGAAACAAAAAAATTGGGCGGAAATGAAAAAAGTACAAGATCAGTGCCAAAATTAAAAAAATTTATTTGGTATAAAAGAGGTAATTAGCAAATATTACCACAAAAGAATTTACTCATATTCTCATACTATCGTAAGACCACAAAGTTTGATGGGTTTCTTGTACTACTTTCTGTTTGGGCGTTCCATTGAATCTAAGTGAGACCATTTTTAGGTAGACCCCTTTTTATTATATTTTTCAACTATTCACATTATTTAATTACAATTTCGTTTCAAAATTCTTCACATAAAAAGGTGAGCGTTTAGGTGAAAAAATGCACCTACTATCCTTGCTATTACCCGGAATAATATTAATTTGACACGGGGTGTGCGATAGACTTACCTCCACGTGGTGCACCCTGGGCAACGTATACTCATACGGCAAAAAAGTCTATTAACCGGCAGTTGACTTCTCATTTAAAACTACCATCATCCCACTGTATCCCATATTAGACTACTTCCACAATACTCATCTTACCTTACCTTTTCTCTACCTTTGTGTCTGTCTGTCTATCTCTTTTACAGTCCCCCTCTCGACTCTTTGCCACTTTGATGTTCATATTCCTTTCTATGAAGCCCGAAGTCAACTAAAGGGCTAATGATACCTATCATAACGCCTGCCATTTGAAATAAATAAATAAATATTAATTTGACACTTATTACTTGTTTGGAACAACAGAAAATTGTTCAAACGATAAGACCCCGATGAAATGCAGTGTGCTGAGAGCATCGTAGAGATACTGAGTCTCAATTTACTTTTGAATTTGGGTCAAATTTTATTTTTTAAAATTCTGAATTTTAGGAGTGCAGAATATGTCTACGGTGACAGTATTGGTAGACTGGTTTTATTCATGACGTTAAGTTTTAAAATTTTATTAATTATTTCCTTTCTTGGTTAAGAAGGCAAAATGATTTTAATTCGATTCAGCGGATAAAAGTGTCACATTGCATATAATTAAATTTTCAATCTTAATACTACGAACCAGTTCTAGTTCTAGCATAAGACCAGACGAATTTAGTATAACATGGGCTTAAAGCTCGTTAGGCAAACGCCAATCTATTTCTCATTCATAATCATTTCCTAAAATACTAATCCTTGGTCAGGGAACTGTGCTGTGGATTATTTTCACAATGGTGAAAGAATTGTAATTACTTAATATTTAAGTAACTTTTGCCTTTACACGACTAAATTAAAGATTTTATTACATTGGCAAATTATTTTTTTATAGTTGTTTTATGAAAGCAGATAATAATTTTCTCCAGGCCTGCTCATCCTTTTGAATCGAAAGCCGCTTATTGAATCAGTTTCGAGTTTGCTTGACCATCTTTTACATCTGAAGATGCGAATAAATTTAAAATTCAGATAGTCTCAAGCTTGTTGAAAGGAAGTGCTTAAAATAGCACTAATTTAAACAAGGAAGCTACTTATTGGCCCACACTAGACAAGAACAGAAAACACCTTGCAGAACCGAAGACAAACACGATACAAGAGTCGTTGTCACATGTGAGAAAAGCGTGAATTAGGGAGGATCTCGTGTATATTTAACAAACGAGAATGAGTAAGAAGTGGAACTGTAGGAGGAGAGGAAGGCGTCTAACGGCAACTCGGATTGTGAAAAGTCTAAACGAGGTACAATAACCAATTATGCTTTCTTTATTCATTCATTGACTACCGATAGATAGGGCAGAGACACGAGTCTGGAGCTGTGCAACACATGTATTATTGGAATCAGAGGTCGGGGACAGTGCTGATGTAACTTCTCTTTTTGAGTAGATCACGTTATGTCATCTCCTCCTCTTTGACTGAACTCTATTATCCGGCAAACATAGTAATTCATTGTAGATTAGCTACTATTTTGACATAGTATTAAATGCGTGTCATAAACAACATTCACTTTAAAAAAACAATGAGGTGTCTGCAACCCGTTTATTGAAATTATTTTTATTGTTTGCTAACAAGGATGGAACTGCCTCCTTTTTCATTTTCCATCATTTGATATTTGGTATAACTTTGACGTCCGTGACTTAATCTATATTTGCTTCTCAATAGATTCAGATGGTTTAGCTCTCAATAACAACCCAATAGCGCATTTTATTGATTATTTATTTTAAAAGTTCAGAAAACTGTGTGACCTTTAATTGTGACCTTTGTTTTATTTTCAAATTTGGGGTGTGCGATAGACTTACCTCCATGTGGTGAACCCTGGTCAACGTATACTCATACGGCAGTTGACCTCTGACTTCAAACTACCATGACACAACTGTATGTCTTATTCGATCACTTCCGCAGTACTCACCTCACTTTTTCTCAGCCTTTTATCTGTCTGTTTAACATCTGTGAATCACTCTTCTGTTTCTCCTCTCGATCTCTTCTCACTTTGATGTTCCTCCCCTCTGTGAAGCTTGGAGTCAACTAAAGAACTGATGATAACCATCAAAACGCCTGCCATTTGAAATATATAAATTTTCAAATTTAGTTGAAATTCTCAAAAATAATGCTCAACTAAAGCACTGAGACCAGACCAAAGATTAGTCTACCCAAAGTGAATTAGTGGACACGCTCTCGTCTTTGTTGCAGTGCTTCCACTAAAATAGAGTCAACGTTTATCTCTGGTAAAATTTATCATTTGAAATTTTTAAAATAATTCTGATTTATTGAGCATGCCAACAGATTTTTATATAAGTCTAAGTTTGTATTTTTTTGGAAAAGATATTAAAATAAATACAGTTTATTTATTGCCCTTATTCAAATTTTAAAAAATAGGCATTTTCTATAATATAACAAATCATTTTATGTAAGTTATAGATTTGAATCAAATAAATCTCCACCTTTACTATAAATTTTTAAAAATCAATGAAAATGCTTGCGATGTTATAAATCGGTATTGACGGAGTTCGTTTTTCTTTTTGTCAACTTAGAATTGTGAGGATCAAGCCAATAATAATTGAGCAGTTGGAATTTGTTTACTTTTTACACTTTCGGGATTCAACTCCTGACATCCCCTGTTCGGGCTAAACACTTGTTGGCTGCATTATTTCGCGATTTCGTGTGTTCAAGGCCAATCCAATCAGCAATAAAATTTGCAAATGTTTTTGCAACGCATTAGTGAGCCTGACTAGGGGAAGAATCTTAAGGACTTATTAGAAAATTAGTTGCTCAAATTAAATTTCCAGGAATATTTAAATAAATAAATAATATTTATTTTTTGACCTATCCTTTTAAAATGAAGCTTTTTACTTGCATTTAAAAAGCGGAAAAAGAAGGAGTGAGAATTTCAAACTTTCAATTGGCAAAAGGCAGCGTCATCAGCTTTCGCCTAAAATCATAGCAGGACAATGCAGCTTAATATGGTGGAATGCAGTCAAGTCTCACAGGACCTTACAACCTTACAACCCTGATAAAAAGCGATATAACCGAGGCGTCTGATAATCTATTAGTTCAGATTGTTTTAGAGTTTCAAAACGACACATCGAAGAATGACATGCTCATTATTGACATTGGATCAATATGATTCTCTTCTAAAAGCAACAGCATGCATACTACCGGCAGGAGAAATAAAAATTAACTCGCTCGATTTCCATGGACAGGATGATTCTACTCGTGCTCAAAGCCAGTTCTTATCTGTTTTAGCCCATGCATCTACTTGTCCGGGTAGTATATCACATGACATCCTTATTAATAAGTGGAGAATTATTGAGAGCGTACCATTTGCACTAATTATTTCATCAGCTGGGTAGTGTTTGGTTGTTACGTTGATCTTATTGTTATAAAACCGCATTAATTTCGGAACTTTGACATTGCAGAGGCAAGACTCTTTGCACCTCTACTGAAAGTATGAATTGGTACGTGGGTGTACAAATAAAAAATGAAGATATTTTAATTAAAAAAGCCGTCTGAATGGTTCACAAATGTTAACCGATTTTTTGTATATATTGTGATGACCTTGGATAAGATTATATTTGGGAAGTAATAATTAATTTTCCTTTTCCCAACCTTCAGTCGCCCAAAGTACAAAGCAAACAAATTAAAAGTTTATTCGTACCATTTTGATCAGTTCAAAAGATAAATTATATTTCTTTACGCAATATTTTGACATTCCTTTACCATATTGACAGAGTATTAATTTATTAATGAGCTACCAACATCACTTGGAAAATGATTTCACTATTGTTGATCGTATTGACTTCATTTCATTTCATTTAAAAGTAGGAAAATTAAAATCAACCGAGGCATTTTTGGAAGATTTATAAAGGACGCCTTAAATTACGCCATCTTAAAAGTATTCTTATAACCTCTAGCTGGGAGGGGTGGGGAGGGGGGCTATTGATCAAAGAGGACTTTTAACTTCATAACGAGGCAAAATTTATTTAACTGTATGCGAAAATTGAGGCAATTAATTTCAAATAAGTAATTTAAAGAGCATAAAAAGTTAAACTTCAGTGACTTAGTTCATCATCGGATAAGAACCTCGTTTTTAGGAAACCATATAAAAAATCAAAGTATTAACAATTCACCTGAAAAAAATGAATAGTTAGTCTCGTTGGTGTTTTTACGACTAATTAATTGCATGAAAATATTTCAATGAAATAGATCTTAACGACTCGGTATCAAGCAATACAAATATTCAAGTATCTTTCTCCTTATTTTACAATATGTAAAACCAAGTTTATTTGACTTAAGCTTTGGCGTATATTCAGCAATTAAGTGAGCAGAAAAATAGTTATAATAATTGAAAAAAAAATGAGAAAATGAAATGTAAGACATACTTTTAACGCGAACAAAAATGCCATTTGAGCTATTTCCGAGACTGGTTTGGACAGAGCAAATGTAGACAGCACGATCGGGGGCCGCGAGGGCTGTAAATGAGAGGGTGTCATAATGACTCGTTGTGGAGAGGAGATGAACCCGACCCTCTGGATCGTACGTGGGCGAAGCGGCTACCCGACCGCTGTCTGGATCTTCAACCAACAGGGGTTGAGAGTTGCGTCGCCAAGTAATATCGCCTGCTTTCGCTTCCGGATAGGCGATAATCCCGCATGTTAGGTTATAGGAATCACCTTCGTAGACTGTTTTAGCGGAAGGCCGAACCACTAGCACTGGTGATACTGCAGAATTGGGAATAAAAATACGAAAATAGTCTTATGGATAAAAAGAAATATGCTTGATAGTTTGTATCCCAAAACAAGGTTAAAAGACCATAAAGTTAGCATTCGGGCTTGGAATGAGCAATTAGCTCAAGTGACGGATATAAGTCCACCGTAGGTCGGTGGTATTCAACGGAAACATAGAGTATAGTGGTGGAACCTGAAATTTCTAGTATTACATCAGTAGAGCACGGTCTTACCTCAAAACATGTACCTTAGTAATAATTAGTGAAATGATTCACAGACTTCTAGAAGTATTGAAGTAGCGTAGTATGTGCGGTGACATACAAACAAAAATGATTAGGGTGAAGATCAAATAAGCAATGTCTTTGATTCAGCTATTTTGTTCCTTTGGCTTTGTTCATTTGGACAAATTTCCATGCAGATTGATTAAAATTGAAATACCCATAGCATAGAACCATTAAAACTAAGTCTTAACGCGATTAGAAAACTTAATTAAGATGAAAAGGTAAAAAATAAATCGTATATTTCATCAGACAGAAAAGCATAAATTTTTAATAATTGGTACAAAATTAGATTCATTGGAGGGAATATTAAAGAGGGCAGGTGGATAGAATAGGCGAGAAGTAAAAATCGATTGCATTATTTCCTGAAATTCTAAATTAATACATATATGTTTGTGCAAAGAGATTTAAAATCAATATTTTAACTGATGGGAATAATGTTGAGGGAGGGATAAAACATATTTGAGACTTCTCATTTTAGAAAAAATTATTCACTCTGGATTTTTTCTTATGTATCTTCAATCAAGCACGTGTAATAATAGAAAATCATGCAACTCGCTTATTGGTCAATAGAAAAAGCCTTTCCAATTTGATGATAGTATAAAAAATTCAACATCACATCATAAATTGTAACTCAAAGACTCCATAAAAATATTAAATGCCCAACAGCATTATAAGCAGTGTACTGAAGATCTGTTGATAATTGGAAAAGAAAAAAAAACATTTCATGGTAAGTTATTCTATGTTAATGACGAAGAGCGGCTTAACATATTTGTATCTAAATTAAATGTAGTTATGTCGATAAATAGCTGAATTAGTTATTCCATTTTTTGCACAAACTGACATAAAACTAAAATATAGGTGTCCCAAGCGCAGCGTGCACTGTTGAAATCTCAAGGGACAAAAGAACGGTGGAGTCACAGATATTGGCTGGAAGCTAACACAGCCACGAACCACAATTCTTGTAGTGCAACATAAAAGTTGTGTAGGTCAAAGTTTAGTAAAAAAAATAGTAAGGAGATTCAGATGGAAAAGAGAGATTAGTGGGAAGCGTCGGAGATGGCATTGCCATCTGCATGTGTGTTTGTGTGCTTCCTTAGGTTCAAAGAACAAAATAATCACAAATAGATGTGCAATGGTTCCAGATATCACTAAGCAAAGGAAGTGGACACTAGCAGGATTCCTTCAAGGGCCAATAAATCATAACATATATTACTCGAGGACGCAAAATGGTTCTCTGTGGGGAACTTGAGGTCAACGTAGAATTAAGCTCCACTGTGAGGTTGAGGTAATTAGGTCTCCGAGATTAGTGATGACCTAAGTAGAAATTTTGGAAACGGATGGGAGAACATTCTTCATCTGCTTAGGGGAAGAAAATTTTAATTGCTTAGATTATTTGCTTCAGAAAGGAAACATAATCTTCAATTTTACATTTTCAATTATTTCATAATTAATTATTTGCGATTTTAAAAACTGACGGCGTGATAAGGTGTCCGTGCTTCTACGTTTAAAGATCGTGTCGTCAGTCCTTCATCACTCTAGCGAATTGAATTATACAATTCCATTGTAGTCACCCGGATATTAGCCACATGAAATAAATCGAAAGCACATTTGTAAATTGACCTGAATGTTTTTTCAAGGATATTGATGCAATTGTCCAAAGGAGTTCTGACTACCAGAATGTTAACGAGCTGTCAACACAACAAAATTCTAGTTCCATACTTAATACTGCACCTCCATGGTTCCGCATGCACTTGGATTTCGCTAGATCTGCCTGTGTCATTTCACATTTTGTGGCAAATCTGCATCCAGAGGCCTAAAGTTATTCCCTTAAAGTCTACCGGCCTAATCCTCGAAAGCGTAAATGGGTTCTTTGGATTACCTCTCGAATACTTGCGCAAATAATGAGACACCGGAAATTTAACCAACAGTCAACAAGACCATCGTTCGGAACGAACTAGGAATTCTTCTAAAAGATTCCAAGTGGATCCAATATACAAAAGCTATGATGAAAAACTTTCGCCGGGAAGAGTTAGAAAAAAAATGGAATATTTTATCTACTAATAAGTTAAAATCTTAGAGAATTATATTATTAGGTATTCGCGATTTTACAGCATTTTCGCTAAAATAGTAAGTTGTTGCTGAACATAGTGCGAAATTTCTAAAACTTTTAGCATAACCCTTTGAATATTATTCCATCTGGGGAATTGTCACAATTTGTTTAGCCTTCGAAAGAAATAACAAAAGTCAAATATAAGAGAGAGAGAGGCTGAAGCTGTTAACGCAAACTTGGATTGCTGAGTTAGAACAAATTTAAAAAAGGCATACTAAATGAATGAGACAAAACTGGCACTTTTCCGTTGGCTTGCAAACACCTTTAGATGAATTTATCCATTCTAAATCAAAGCCGATTATATCACCTATGACTACACAGAACAAAGGATTTGAGCTATGTAGTTTGGTTGTTAGTACTATGGGGAGTGACAGAGATTTGATTAACTCTGTGAGCAATGCAATCTGATAAATCAAACTGGAGGAATAGTGGCATACACTGATGATTTAGCCCATCAATCAGAAAGGCTGTAGTATTTGAACACAGAATCGTATTTCAACCTTTTCGTGATTATCTCCTCTCGATATGAAAGAACGCGCCAAAGCTCCCACTGTCCCAGAGACGCGAAGAGATAACCCACGCGTGAGTTGTATGCGACTTCTGATATATTCTGAGGTCCTTTCACCATTCCAATTATTAACAGACACTTGTATTTTGTCGAATTGTGTAAATTTTTCCATCAAACGCCTAATCGACTTAGAACCCATACTTAAAAAAAGATGCATATCATTCCATACATTTTCTTTATGAAGGTTTTTCTTTGCAGACTTTCCATAATTGGAGAAAAAGGAAGTTAAGATTATAAAGTAGAGGATATATTCTTGCAACTGGCGCGGCGGAGTTGAACAGGCCATATCATAAATGGAAGGACAAATCATTGCTCAAGATAGTAAAATTGATGCCTGATTTGTACTTTCCATTCTATTCGTCAATATTTATCTCAAGTCCAAGATTTAATATGAACTTGCTCTTATTATGTATTGAGGAAATTGGTTCGAATTTTCGTTCTCGATCACCTAAGTCATCAAAAATTAATCATGATTTGCGTCTCACAACTTTGGGTCAGAACGAACTGGGAAAAACAAAAACCGAAGTCATAGGTCAGCTCAAAGTATGACTTAGATCTAAGAGTGATATGATATCATGAAAAATTATATTATTAAAATGAAAAAAGTAAACACAATTATGCATCGGAATATTTCTCAAATGTTATTTTTCATGTTTGGTAGCAGACAGAAATGATAAATAATTAATAACATATGGAATAATACAATATAGCACAAGTGGTGAAGAAAAGCAAATTATTCTTCGTCAAGATGGGACCAAGTGGTCTTTTTCATAAAATTAGAACAAAAGTTTTTAAAAATTTGAAAAACAATCAACTGGACCGCATGGACATAAATACACACTATGGAACTCTGGAAAAATTCGGATATTTCATATTTTGAAACGTTAACATATGAAGAACTGAATCATTATTGTAACCAGAAGTGAAAGCAAATGAAACATTTTTGAACTCCTTCCGTTTTATCAATTTCAGCCCTTTTAAGAAGCTTCATTTATTTGTACTCACATTCAGAATAAGCTTTGTATTTTTGACTATAGGAGAGGGGATAAAATTTTTGTTCAGAATTATTGAACAAGAATCGAAAAAAATAAACTTCTGTCTCATTAGCGATGACAAGTTGAAAGAATCCAGGAAAGAAGAAATAAACTCACAGCAAAAAAAAAGAGGAAAAACAAAAAATGTTACTCTTCATACAATCGAATAAAGTAAGCAACGTACTTCGAAAATAAACAGATTGTTTTACGGATGAGCCGGGTAGAATATTGAAGGAACACTGATACGAACCGAACAATTCCTGACGAATTGTGCTGGCTGAAATTAGATAAAACGAGTGAACTAAGAAATAAAATACGCTTTTAGTAGATTTCTTAAATTGCAATTTATATTTATACTACATAATCCCAAAAATCAAAATAGCTTACTTTCATTATTTCGTAAGAGAAATTTTAATGAAACTTACCTGTGACAAGCATTGTAAGATTACTGTAGATGACTCCAGTCTCCGAATCTTTGGATTCGGTAATTTCAAACATATTCCGATGTTGAGTCAACCCCTTTCCATACCATCGGACAGTAGCATAATTTACACCATTTTTCCCAACTTGGAATTTACAAAACGCTGTTGGATATCGACGAATGTTGGGAACATTATGTGTAAAGCGAATATTATGCAAGTCATCGGTAAGTGAGCTAGATTTGATATCAGTTCCACCAGAATCGACAACTAAACACTATGTCACCAATAGAAGCACATTGCTTACTTCCATAAATATGAAGATTAACACGTGCACTGTGCAATCCGGTTTCACACTGGTAAATCCCAGATCTGTTAAAATCCGCATCGGTCAGGGTAATTTTACTTTCTCCATCTCGGCTGTCAATTACTGCTATGCTTGATTGTTTCACAGTTACGTAATCTTGAGAACTGAAAAAGGCCTTTTTCCATACAAAATCACTTTTCTTAACGTCATTGGCTCGGCAAATAAATGATACAGATGAAGCTACGGGAATAGCTACGTCCGGAAGAAAATTTTCATTTCCATCCATGTCAATAACCAGAATGCGAGGATTGTATGCTGAGAATACATATTAAATGTATATTTACCTTGGCAAAGACATATAAATAAAAATACATATATCATCCGCGATAAACCGTTTGCGAGCATCTTAAATATGCGCCGTAAGTTATGGATAGGGTCATTTCTATTTTTTAAAACACGTGTCCAACATTAAAAAATAAATCCAAAAATTTAAAATATATATCCCACTTAAATAAAATAAATTTATTAATTAAATCTTTTTACTTATTTGTTTCAATTAAGGCTCACTTTGTCACGGAAAAAAATTTGTGTAAATTTAAATTTTTTTCTAATTTATCGCTAAAAATTATTTAAAAGCATTTTAAAATTTTATTCTTTAAACTTTACTCCTGCTTGTTTAAATTGTAATTCTGGGTCAACTATCCTTCTGACGATTTTGTATTAGCTCTCTGCCGAAGGTCTGCGTTTGCCCTAAATTATTTTCTTTTTAGCCCTGTTAATAAATCTGGTTAATGTATAGTATTTTGCCCTTTTAGATGCATGCAACAACTCGAGGTGGATTTAAAGACCTTGCACATCCATACTACATAGTCAACATTTTACTGAGTATCTTATTTTTTCTCACAAAGAAAATGCCTTTCGTCTCTGAGTTGCTTTATGAAAATTCCATGATGGAATTTGATGACTTCCAAGTTATTATTCTCTTCGCCACTATTATCTCTCTTCGGCGTTCGAGACTGCTTTCTGTAACCGACTATGTTGCCTATTTCTGCATGTTTGCTAAAGCTTCTAATCTAATCCTATTCTACCATCAAAGTCTCTCTCTTGCAACTGCCTATGCGGTACTATGGCTTATTCAAGCTTCACTTCTGTTTCAACCGGTTTATAATGGACCGGAAACTATTTCCTACTTTCGTGAGGCCACCTTTAGGGATGTAAGTTACTTCTACGTTTAACTTCAGAAATTTGCTGTGCTTATTGTAATATTTTTTTCTCATAGACGGTGGAAACAGCAGATCCCCGTATTACGTGGTTTGTTGTTTTCTATGCCGCCTGGTCTCCCGCGTGCAATTCCTTAGCTCCTATCTTTTCGGAGCTTTCTAATGCCTATTCAGGTTATGAAGGTATGCGTTTTGGAAAAGTTGATGTTGGACGCTGCCCAAATGTTGCTCAAAGAATGGGCATCGATACATCGAGTTGGTCCAAACAACTTCCAACAATCATTGTCTTTCGCGGTGGTAAGGAAATCGATCGACGACCAGGTTTCGGCCAGAAATCAAAAAAGCTCATCCCCTTTAACTTCAATTGGGATAGTATTATCAGGGCATTTGATATGAACGAACTCTATGCTCAATGCAAACGCGATGGTACCAAAATCAAACGAACTGAAGTCGTTAAGAAGACCAAAGTTGAACAAACGGAGACAAAAAAAGATAAGTAGAGACTTGTTTTTCGCTTCTCTTTGTTAGTAATGCAATCCACACAATTATATTAGTGTATACTTGAATTGTCCTTTCTTGTAAAGTTTTCTTGTATTTATGCAATCATTTGAATATTGATTTATTTGCTGCATAACCTCTGTCCTTATCAACGACATTGATCTAAGCTTGTTCGAACTAACAAACCCTAAAGTTGTAACACCAATTGTAGTATAGTGACTACGAGATCAGATAGGTTTGCAAGTGTCATTAATAAAGGCTGTTTATGCCATAAAATCTCAATCTTAACAATCGAGTTCATTTATTTTTATCACAATTTTCATATTTCGGATACTGGGCTGCTTAAAGGATTGTATCATAGCAATGTTATAGGAAAAGTTATTGCCCTTGTTAGCGTCCCTACTGCAAGATGGGAAGGGGATTGAGACGACACCATTATGTTTAAACTTATATTTTTTAGTCGGAGTTAATGATAAATATCATAAGTTGAAATAATAATAATAACAATATTTGACTCGTATTCGTGATCGAAATTGCATCTGGGCGGCACGGAAATCTTATTGAGATACTTTAGCTAAGGGAGTGGAGGTGTAATTTAATTGTTCCACAAGTGGCACGCTAAACGTGCGAAATGGAATCGGCCTTGTAATCACTCCTATTTTTGGCACTGATAAGTGTACTTTCACTTAATTATTTCCAACGCTAATCAAAATACAACCATCAGAGCCTAAGATGAAAGAGAATGCTAAAATGCCGTTTAGTAAACACTGTGAACTAGAATTCGTTCCATTTGTTTTCTAGACTAAATATTTCATTTTGCTTTTTAGACATATGTATAATGCTAGTCAACTTGGTTTGTTATGGATGTATAAATCAAAGAACACATTTCTGTTACTTGCCATTATTTGGCATTGTCCACTGATCAGGTACAGATTTATGTAACAACGTTTGCTCTTAACATCTTTCGTAGCACCGTAATATATTTGGCATGGAATTTTATTCCGGTCATCCTAAGTTTAGTGTCAATATTTTATGAATATATCAGGCCAGGTTAAATTTAAAAATAGAAAATATTAACACGAAGGAATGTCCTTAAGTAATGCCTAGTTGCTTAATGGTCATTTTATTAAGTCCAAATACGTTAAATTACCCAATAATTGAAAACACATTTCCCCTATATATGCGCATATCACATTCGTTCGGAGGGATGGCCAAAATTAAGGTACCGGAGGTCACGTACTCTCCTGGTTTATTTAATGGCGTAACAATATTTTTCGAAGGAAACAGAACATCGCAATTGCAAATGTTTATTTGTGACGTCATTTCCTTGAACTTTGCGCAGACTAATCACTTTCTGCCATCTCTTTCTTAATCAGTAAATCTGAAGTTTATCAGCTGTCTACTTCTGAATTTGACTTAGAAAACATATATTTATTGTAATAGTTATGAAGTTCTTTCAAGTTGAAAAACTTTGACTTTCTTTCAGACAAACACTGACGGATTATTCTCGAATTTAGATTACCATTTTCGTGGATGGCTGAAGCACGTCAGACTAAAAGCACATACAAACGTGTTAATTCACGTCCCCTTTTCTCTAAATTATCCACCAATAACGGCAATTTGTGGCTGCTTATGGCCCAGAAGGTTTATTCTTCATATCATGAGAGTATAATGAGGGTGCTTAGAGGTAAATGATATTAGAAAAAATTAGCATTCTTGCACACATTTCATTGGCCAGATCTAACCAAGTTTATGGCGCTCCCCCGAACATCAATGAGCAACAACTTCACAAACCGCCAAAAGGCGCTCAAGCTGACCACTTCGTTGACCCCTAAACACTGTTTGACAATCCTGGTGAAGTGGATAGCCAATTAGATACTTCAAATCTTCATTTAACAAAGCGCGCATTGAACCATATCTAATGTGCAAGTAGGCTCATTCATAGCTATATAATTTCTTATGACTACCAGATCACGCGCTTATTTAGATGGCATGGTCGCTCTGTGAGGCGACAGAACCCACCAGGAGAGCTATGGAAACAATGTGGGTCATCTTCTGTTCATCATAGACTACTAATTCCATGCTGGCTTTCAAGCATAATATAATAACGCATCATCCGTTTAAAATTCTGTTGTTTAGTAATCAATGGGGGGGGGGGGTAACGGGCTTTCCCATCTATGTAATCTTGAGCAAAAAGCCAACTTCGGTATATCCCGATAGACTTCTCATCTAGGAATGGATGATTCCATTTTAGCATCAAGTTCCTTTGGACTGGTTTAGTGCTTCTAAATTGCTTATAAACACTGTTAATTATTAAAAGAGAAGATTATGGGAATTGGAGGTTATTAATTTCCTCCTACAGATCATTTTCAGATATGGAAGAACAAATTCTTTTACCTACTAGTAGACAAACTCTATCGTATTAATTTTGCTTGAAATACAAACTATGGGCCATTAATATACACAAGGCGAGGAAGCTAGCTAAAGTAATCAGAGTTAGGTCGAGGATAAAAATAAGGGAATGAATGCATCACTAGATCAGCGAGGAGATTTGCTTTAGGAATGAGAAAGGTTGGATTCCAAACGAGATAATGCCTTGCTAACTTGTAACCTGAAAAAGTTGGAGCAATAATGATATTACTGCTTAAAATTAAAGTAGTAAATTTTAAAAAATGAAGCTCACACTGAAGAGTGCAGCTGTGGAATAGTAGACATTGCTTTGACCATTTCTTCGCATTTTGCCATCATTGTATACATAGACTAAAAGTGAAGAAGAATAGATACAAATGCATTGCTCTACTGACAGGAAATAAGTAGATGATATGAAGAAATTATAAAAGAGTCTACGAATCATTCGATTTACCTTAATACTAGCATCCATTTCATCACAAGTTTGAGAAACCAAGGAATCATAGAGGCCAAAGCAGTCGAGTGTCAAGGAAGATATCTAGCGATGAGTAATTTTAATGTAAAGACTAAGGATTAGTGACCAGAGTAAAGGATAAACGGAATGAGAAATATAAATTCTCAATATTCAATTACATAAAATAAACAGTTTAATCATTGATGGCATACATATGGAAACTAATAAGTGCTTACCCTTTGAAGACCAGTTTGCAAGTTAGCCATTAGAAGAGTCGTCTCAGCATCAAGTTTCCTGGCACATGCTTCAATTTCGTTTAGAGAGTTGAGATGTTTAAGGATACTATGAAAAGTGTAAATTACAACTTTCTTTACCCAAGAGAATCTGAGGCATCATCCGGCTCACTTTGACTATCCATATAACACTGATCAAAATAGATCATGATAGAAGTAAATAAAAGTGAAAGAACATGGTAAGCATAATTTGTGAAAATCTACATTGTTACAATTGCAAAAATAAGGATTTGAAATAAATTAATTTGTCAAAAAAGATTGTTGGATAAATAAGTCAAAAATTTTAAATCTAATATGCAGATTTCTAAAATGATAAAGTTTTTAAAGTATATCAAATTTCACTTACAGATTACAATTTGTGAAGGCCAAATTCAATCAGCGCGGCTATATTAATACACCTAAAGGAGGCTTAAGTGTGGCAAAAAGAATGAAAGGTGGGGCGGTTATTTAGAGGAACGGCTAATTTATAAGTAAATTTAGATGTTCTTTAATACAAAATTACCCCATTCATATGCTTTATAGTTTGATTTTTAATAACATATGGAAAATATTTGCTGAATGGAAAGAATGGTAAACTGATCATTATAATTTACTCTAGAAAGTATTTCAACAGCTCCTGAAGGTAAATATTTTATCTTTTTGTAAATTTTAAACTACTATTTAAAATTTTTCAATGGTAAATTATGAAAATCTACTTCCACAAAAACTCGTACCATTTTTTATTTGTATTTTGCAAATTCCGTAAACAATATCAGATTAAAAAGATAATAAAGTAATATTGATTTTGGACTTTTGACGAAAAAATAAACTTTATTGTTTCTCAGTTTATTAATACAACATTCACCTTAGTTAGTCTGCGGTCATCGTGTAATGTTGTTTTTTATATTGAATTGCGCCCTTAGAGTCTCCTACCTGAGACTAAAATTTAAGTGAAAGATTTATTCAAAGAAAACTTGCTACCCCATTTGTAGGAACGAATCTTATTCCGACAAAGATCTGATCTTCATATTTTTTGTTCACATGTTTTGATGTATATAATCATCTGGTCTTCTAGAATTAACTATTACATTAATTCCCCTTGCAAGGGTCCACAGTACTAGAAATATAAGCCTATCCCACCGTAATATTTTATTTTATGGTATGTACACTTTTCAGCAGTAATTTAAATTTATTCATCCAAATAATTATTTTGGAGTAGTAAATTAAACCAAATGAATAAAGGAATTTTGTAATATAGAAGTATTTAAGGGAAAATGTTGCTTATTTCTTGCCTGCTGTGTATTCAATGCTTCAAAATTTAATTTATATGTTCTGAAAATGATGTTTTCTCGACACAGCCTTAGATTTACTTGAAAATTTTTCGCACTATGCATTGAATTCATTGCTAAATCCCCTGATATATGTTTCATCGTGATCAGTATATATTAGGTGTAATTTAAGACATGCATTTATTCTAGATTCTGGTAGAATATGTTTTTTATCGGTCTACATAGAATAGTTTAGCCCGATAGGCATATATGGTTCTCTTGGGCATATAATTGGTAAATTTTTCTCGGAAAACAAAGCCCATATTGGTTCGTAAGATAACAGAAAATACGAAGAGTGACCCATAAAAATGTCAATTCATAACTGCTTACAACTAATTTTACTTAACTGTCCAGCTCTTATATTGTTGTAGTATATTACGAAGGAACATAAGCATGTGTTATGAGCAAAAATTAAAAATTGAACAAAATAAAACTGTCCCAAAACTTGAGAAAAAACTATGTTTTCCCCAGCGGCAATTAGTATATTTTAGTTGGCGCTTGTGTTTTCATTTACTTCGATCAAGAAGATTAGCATTATTTTAAATGCGTTTTCTAACCTAAACTCAAAGAGCAAACTCTAAAGTAATTATTAGTCACAATCAATCAATATTTATTTGATAAGAATTAGCAAGGATAATATAGCTTGATATTTTGTTAATAAAACTTCATATTAGTACATTTTCAAAACAATTGTGTAACTTATGGATGAAATGTCTTTATATAAAATTTCAACAAATCTTTTGAAATTATGTAAGCCTCAATGTTCCATTAATTCAATGAATATAGTCATCAGCTTTGGCAATGAAAGGTTTCTTCAGTAAATTAAGATAAATCAGCAAAATTTAATTTAGGTGAAAGAAATTTATTCAGCAACTTACTTTTACAATTTCACAAAAATAAATGATCAGTTTTAAAAAATTAAAATTTTTATTCTGATTATTAAATATATTTTAGTTTTTAACTTATTTTAAACGATTTCATTAATCGTCCTTGAACTTGTTTTTCTAAATAAGTTTAAATTGCTAATTTTGTGCACCAAAGCGTATCAATTCAAGCTTATCATTTCATATTTTAACTCAAAATGACATAATTTCACATCACTTGAAATTGTTGCGTTTAAAATGGTTTTTATTCATTAGGAATTGTATCTAAGTTTTTTCCACACTTTCAGTACAGGAATTATCATTTCGTTATCTTTTATTATTTACATGTTCTTTTAATTTTCTTTTAAGTGATTTAAAATTTCTTATTTTGTAAACTACATCTTTTCACAAAAGGGAGTTTTTGATTGCTTGCTTTGAAGCTTAATTGAATTTATGCAATTTTCATTTAAAACTGTCAGGTAATTTAATCTTTTTGTTTCTGTATTCACTTTTGTTCGATCTTGTTCATCATATGTATTATTTTTTTTAAGGAACAATAAATAAATTATTAACTGCTCTCCAGTTTGTGATTTTCGTCACTATGCAGCACGCCTTGTTGTCTGCAATCGGTCGTCGTGATACGATAGAGACCCAGGATAGTTTATCTGATTCCTTCGAGAAAAATGAGTCTAAGGATATAGCATGTTCACCAGAACTTATCTCTTCTTGTTCTTCACCTATGTTCTCTCAACCAGATCCTCTCCGGGTATTAAGACTTGATGAAGCCTTGGAACACTTGCACAATATAAATCGCCATCTCCGTGACCAACACACTGCTCAAACTTATTCCACTGCAGAGCTTTCGAAATCCCAAGTAGAAACTTCTAGTTTCGTTGTTGATGGGCAGAGTGTGAGTTTTTACTTTAACTTGTTTATATAACTTTAAGATTATATTAATTATAAATCTGTGTTGGTGATTGGCTCGAAATATATAATTTAAATTCGCTCTCTAAGAAATTTTTCTTTGTTCTATTTTATTGAAATTATTTATTTTAACTTAGTAAACCTGGAAAAAACGTATGATTTCAAAATGTCACCCCGCACATTGAGGTTGAACATTTAAAATCAATCTACTTATTTATTTCATATGTGAAATTAATTTTTTGGTCTTTTAAAATATAGATTGAACTGAAGGTACAAAGTTCTTTTCTAATGAAGTAATTGGCCAATCTTACTAAATCCTACAAAAAGAATCTTCCTTCGAATAAAATATCCAAATTGGAAAGGATTTAAAATGAAGCATCCTTAAATAATTCTAATACAAATTGTCTGCAAATCAGTCAAAAATTAGTTTCGACTTGTAAGTTAATAATTTACATAGCACGCTACTGACTCTGTTTGCATTGAAAGCACTCTAATCTTCGTCGAAAAAGGATAAAATAATTCAAATCTGAAGAGATAATAAATATTTCATTTCAACTGGTTTTATTTCTGAGTTTATTTTTATTAGGAGCAATGGTCTATTAGCTACCTCTTGTGCCTCCAGCGCGACTTTAAGTTGAGATCATATCAAGGATAATAAAATTCCAATTGTTACTTATGATTTATTTTCAGATCTGACAATACTAGATTTATTCAAATTCCTTTGATGTCCTTTATCTCTGTTTGTATCAATGTCCCAATGCGTTTTATTTTTGGCCGCACAACATGAAACTTATTTCTCTAAAGAATCGGCATTTAGAAATTTTAAATTAGGCAAAATGCATAGAATTTATCTCCCTACAACTGTTCTTATTTGATGAGGATGTGATTGGATGAGAGAGGGAGAGAGAGTGAGAGAGAGAGAGTAAGGGAGACCTCGTACGTTTGCAAACATTTTTTTCTCATTTGCTCCACCGACAGATTAAGTGATTTATTCCAATTTTTGATGTAAATTCAGCCCAGAGTCCTTCCAGCCATTTCAAAATGAAAAATTTTCTAAGTTACTACAAATTAAGATTCCTTCTTGGTTTACTATTGAATAGCGTGAATTTGACTTGAAGATTTCATTATTACTACTGTTATTAATATCCAAGAAAAACGCATTGAAAGAAGGTTCAATTTTTTAATTATTCATTTGGAATCAGAAACCCACGAAGCATATTTTTAATTATAGATGAAGTAAGCTCACTTTTTATGAATTATTTCTACTTTGGATAGAACAAGCTGAATACTCCATGGTATAGGTAGTGACAGGTTATTTCATATTCCATAACCAAGTGTGATCTATGGAAAGGCTTATTAAATTCAATGGACGCTCATGTCATCTGGATGAGTTAATAACTGCGTAATTCCACTGAAGAAATATTGTACTAGTTAATTGAAAATCTTGTTTAAATGAAAGTGGATTACATTAATATAACTGTGAACCATGATCACGAATCTGATACACATTAAAAGTTATTATATCATAGTACCATAATGTTGTTTACTTCAGATATATTTTTTTAAAAATTTATTTTTGTTCAATCAAACTGGGGAAGGCATCTGTTGCTAAACTGGGGACATATTAAGCGACTTCCCTTCTCCTCTCATTCTCAACATGTGTACTTTTATTTTAATATAATTTACTAAAAATTAAATACATTAGGGATAAAGTGTAACTCTAAAGTTGAGATTTTTATCGCTACTCCGTTAGTTTTGTTTAAACTGCATCTGAAAGGAATGAATATCGGTTAAAGCCAAAAAATAAGCATTTCGCATTGAAAAAAGCTAAGAATTAAGCATTCATCCATAAATCTAAGTTTGATTTTGATGCATTATGATTCTAAGTATATCTTTGCTCTAATTATTTGCTTTGAACACGATAATGGAATAACTTTTAATTTACTGATAGTCGTAGGGGTGTGGAGTGGGAGAGGGATGAGATCATTTAAATTAATGACACCATTGCGGTCGTCTGAAAGAACGTAAGGATCCGTAGGCAGTAAATGTCTCTTTTTTGCCTTTATTTTTCATATCTGTATTAGTTTTTTTATTGTCTTTCGAATAAATCAATGGCATTAACATGAAATAAACAAAATTCGGAATAGTACTTTACATTATGAAAAAAAGTGAACGCTTTAAAAAATAATTACTTTATCTGCTAAATATCCTATTTAAATATTATTTGGTGGCATGTTATAATAAAGTCATTAGAAGTCTAAAGTAACTATGACGTAGGCATTAGTAATTTCCAAGCCGGCTATCTTGTGTAATGCGTGCTATCATGAGGCCTGCTTGGTGAGGAACTCGAATTGCCCCCCCCCTCTACTCCAACAAATTCGGCTAGTCTTAACCAGTGCACTTGCCCACTTTGCCCACTGGATCGTGATCTACTTACTAAAGCTTTCGTTTTGGTTTAAGAAAATGCGAATCAGAGGCTTTAACGTCTCATAAAATAAAGGAATAATCAACTTCACCCACTTCCAGACAAATTGTTCAATTCAATAACTAATTTACTAGACCGATTTGAATCTTCCAGAAAATTTTCACCCTGACAACAACTTTATTGCAGAATTTATTTACTTATTTCAAATGACAGGCGTTTTGATAGTTATCACTAGCCCTTTAGTTGACTTCAGACTTTACAGAGGAGGAGGGGGAACACCAAAGGGACAAAAAGTCAAGAGGGGGGGGGGACAGAGTAATGATTCACAGATGTACAAGAGACAGACAGGCACAAATGTTGAGTAAAATGTGAGGTGAGTACTGTGGAAGAGGCCGAATATGACATACAGTGCGGTGATGGTAGTTTGAAGTCAGAAGTCAACTCACGGTTAATAGACGTGTTTGCCGTATGGGTATACGTTGCCCAGGGTGTACCACGTGGAGGTAAGTCTATCACACACCCCTTATTGCAGAATCGATTATTGCAATACGTTAAAATGGATGCTCATCTAATCCCCAAGTCTTTAATCTGCCTCATGGATTGAATGCGCACATGCTTTATATTAGAAAGAAAATCACAGTCGATATTTCCTTTTTTAATAAAAAATTGTTGTACCTGGATATCAAAACAGACTACAGTTGAAGTTTCTCGCTTATCGGGGTAATTCATCAGGTTTCACTTCTCAACGCTTAGAGTTGACGCCTTTACTGGTATTTTTTTGATTTCTTGAAAGCCAGCTCACTATCTTATTGGCAAATAGAAGAAATTTCGCTTTGATTTTATTGTCTATTTAGCTATTAACAACATGGCGTCTGTGGCTTAAAGCGCTCAAAATGGGAATTTTCCCGAAAAAAGTACTAAGAATGCATTCTTTTATTTTTGCAGGTCCCATGTGAATGCAAAAAGGCAAATTAATGTTAGATTGTTTGTATTTGTAAGTGTAAATACAAATCAATGTAAATAACATACTGTGTATTCAACAGTTCACTTCAAGTGCCGAAAATGCTCAGCATGAACTTTGATGTGCAACTCAACACTCCATGAAACGCACCTTGAGCACACTGAAAATGGAAGTCAATAAGATTTTGCTTGAACTCTACTATGGTGGTTTGAGTCAAGGTCAACATTTCGGTTGCTTCTAGGCATCCTCACTGAGCTCCACCTTATTGAAACTTTGTGAGCTAAAATCATCCTGCTAGCTTTAAAAGAAAAAAATAATCGTCGTCTACTTTGAATATGCCAGCAAGTAGAACGTGCCTTTATTACGAGCATTCTCCAATGATTTCGATTTAAGAAATTACTATACTTGAATAGCTTTACTATCTTAGAGCTTATCCACGTTTAACCACGGAAGTAGCTAAGACCCACAGTTCCTCAATAAAGTGGAGGAGTATGCTCATTCAGAATCGACAAAGGCGTCGCCTTTTTTATTTACTTAGCTACTTATATATATTTTAGTATTTGGCATCTACCATACCTTCCCCTTGCCAACGGTGAATGTGGATGCCGCCCGCTGTTTTGACACTGAATACTTTTATTCATCCAATTGAGCTCAACTATTTATTTTGTCTCAGCGTGGCGGTAGAACGAAATTCTCTGCAATTTTAGTGGTCATAAGCGGCCTTCATTCATCTTTTGTAGGTAACCGGTTTAACCCTACTACTATTTTGAAGGTTAAAAAAGCGTTAGAATTCTACAGCACTTGCGTGAATGCTATTTTCTCAATAGCCTTGCAAGATGTTTCATCTTGTTGAAATTAATACTCAACAGACATAAATAGCGATTTTCTCTTTAATGCAATTTAAGATTTCAGCCTGCTTTTAGTGACGGATAGGTAGATTAAAATCAATTTTGAATCGATAATATTTCAATTGTAGACGTAATGTTAACGAGATTTCTTTCTTATACTAGAACGAACAAGTACAAAAAATAGCCAATGAGAATAGCCATGATAATTAAATTAAACTGTCCTCAAAAATGATTATTTTTCAATAATTCTTTTATTGCTTTAATCCTACTTGCTCCCTATGCTCACTGCGACGCCATTTTCCGCCCAATAAAGCCAACATTAACTAACTAAAGGCAAATGCCTTACATAAGATTTGAAATTTGCATTTTAACGGACAATGCTTCACTTTGACAACTCATGATGACAACGCGTTAGCTACCAAGCGCACTTTTATTTTTCATAAGTTTTTTTCCTGACTATGAATATGATTTAATTTACTTTAATTCATTTAATTTTCTACAATCATATTTCTTCGTAAATCCTTTTAATCTCATCGCTATGTTGAGCCAGCTTCTAATAGGCGCGTTTTATAAGATTGCTTGACTATTAACTGCGGTCATTGGCTCAAGTATTCAATGTGAATAGACTAATTTACCGTGTAGGTCTGGTCTCTTTTATAATCCGTAGTTTTTAATATATTTTATCACTTTGATTTATATCATCTGAAATGCAAATTGCAAGAAAATTCATGTTTTCTGTTTTTTTTTCAATTTATAAAAATCCTTGTGTGTTCTTGAGGCACATGGTTCAATTTTTTGTGTGTACATTGCTCGAAGATTTATATTACATTCGGAAGCAGATATACTAATATAATCTGTTTTTATTCTTGACATCTCATTCGAAGTAGTTGAACGCAACTAAATTCCTCCTTAATTTGTGAAAGTTTATCATTCCCTCTCCCTCCCCCCCTCCCTCCCCCCCTCCCTCC